TCTTATTATACCACCATTACAGGGTGGAGGGTCCTCCTAAGGTATAGATTTCTTGCAAAAGCCAGAACAGGGTTCCTCAGCGCGCAAGCTTGCCCTGGCCCCTACCCCTAAACCCTAAACCTCTAAGCTCTGGTGGAAAGGCTTGAAGAAACCTTGTAACCCCCAAGATTTGAAAGCTGTGCCCTAAACACAAGTCTTCCATACTCACTCCAAACTCTAAAGGGTTTAGGGGTCTAGGATTTAGGGTTCAGGGTCAGCGCTCTAAAAACCCTACGACTCTGGAACGCCCCAAACCATGGACAACCCTACCCCTCTAGAATCCCACCTGTAGAATGGGTAACCCGTGCTACCTATGAAATGGGTTTCGTCATCTTTTACAGAGACTGGTTTCTGAGAGCCCTTTGCCGGCCATTTTGTACAGAAGTTACGTGCTTAGGATGAAAAATAGTAATAACAATACTAGTGAGAATAAAATACTAGCAATAATAGTAGTCATACTACTAGCAACAATAGTAATACGCAATAACTAAGAACAGGATCACTCTTCAAGTCGTTGGGGGTACGCGGTGCTAGCATGTTATAGGGGAGTACCTCTCGCGTCGTCATTTGTTGTGCTTTGTGTAGGGCGCGTCGGGCAAGACGTTCTATACGCCTGAAGGGGCTTACAGATTCAGTCCCCGCTGTTGTGAGGGTCGACAGGCTTGCCAAATTATACCAAGTTGTTGGTCAGTGTCCATGATATGCAGACATGCTTGGGGTACGTCAAGGGTGCCATTCTATGTTGAGTATGGCTCTTGGATGACCTTGGCATCCATCCTGACATACCTCTTCAAACAAAGCCTGAAGGGGATCCATTTCATGCATGCCGTCTATGTGTCCCAGATCTCTTGCGCACCCAATTCTATAGGCCACTTTTCCTATAAGATGAGGTGCCGAGCTAGTCCCAGCATTCTGGAGGGGTATGGACAACCCTAAACAATATGGCAGTTTCCCAAAATAGGGGGACCCCAATATAGACCCAAAAATACTATAGTCCTTATTATGGGGACCCCCAAAAAGATACCCATTATTTTGGGAAACCCCTATATTCTTTCAGCCTTAAGAGCCCGAGCTCTTCGCGCTTCCCGCAGGAGCTGATCGAAGGAGCCCGTCACGACTCTGGCTTTCAAAGCCGCCTTCGTGTCATGGACGCCGGGTTTAGGGTCTAGGGTCTAGGGTTTAGGGTTTAGGGTGCCAATGAGTCGGGGGCGGAGAGTTAGGGCTTGGGGTCTATAGTGTCTTAACCGGGTTATGCGTGTTTAGTTCGAGGCTATATAGGGCTCAGCATTCATGAGGCTATTCCCATGGAAAATCAAATGGAGAAGGGAATGGAAATGAAATGAAGTTGCTTGCGGGGACATTTTAAAAGAGGGCTAAGGGTTTACTTACTGGTTGCTAGCCGGGAATAGAGAAAGGGAAAAGAATATCAGAGCTAGTATAGGGGCCGGCATATCGACAACGGAGGTTCCGCGACATCATGGGCCCATTCATGCGGTACTATCATAAATTGTTTTGCAGAGCACAAAGCTGACCGAACACCTTTCGAGAAAAAAAAAGCAGGGGCGTATTGGGTGTCGGGTTGGGCTTGGAGTGCAGGATGTGAGGGTAGTGGGAGGCAAGACTCGCAACCAAACATGGATCCCGAAATGTGTCCCCTAGCCAAGGATACCGGCCTTTCTGGGACTCTTTTGAGGTTCCATGCTGCTGAGGGAGGGAAACTCAGGTGGAGGGTTTAGGCTCAGCCTTGAAGCAAACAGTCAAGGACATCGACGAGCAGGACTTGGAGCAACTGTTTCACATGATAGACATCGACCAGTCTGGCACCATCGAGGCGCTTTAGGTGTGCAAATTCAGGATTGGCTTTGCAAGGGCCACGATACCTAAGCAGCCAATTGAAGGATTAGGTGGCATGGAAGCTTGAACAGAAGTAGGCATGTTCTCCTACAGAAAAGGTCCTGTCCAGGTAAGGTTCAGCATCATGGGGATTAAGTGTGAGGTTCAAAGCGTTCAAGGTCAGAGCGTTCCGCTTGTGCTCAGCACCCCCAAGATATGGGACCGTGGCTTTGCATTAGTAAGCACAGTTATGATAATCGTAATAGTGATCATAACATTAATACTAGTGCCCCACAATCCTTGAAACGCCAGGTGGCCGAGTTCATCGGTCCCCTTAGCCGGTGGGCGCATGATTCCAAGACGGCGCCCCGGTTTATCAAGTACAACATGATCCAGACGATGCATCTCCAAGAAGATCTCTACGATCTTTCTGTGGAATGCTTCCAGAAGCTGGCTGCCAGGATTGATGATCCTGGGTTGCTGTTAAGGAACTTAAATTTAGCTACCATACTATGGGTATATAGTGAATAATAGGATTTCCTTATTACAGTACCCTAAACCCTTAACCCTTCTAAACTGTAAGTGAGTTTAAGCTCCTTAACAGCAACCCAGGATCTGGCTGACCAGTTCCACCTTTCGAAGCTGGGGCATGGTAGGCCCGGCCAGGTTTCAGCCACGGAGACTGGGCTTCTTGATTTCGGGTGTAGGGTTTAGGGTCCTTGTTGAATATGAGCTATAGTCTAAACTCCTTGAATTTTCAACGAGGAACCGGTTAGGGTCTAGGGCTAGGGGTATGGAGCTTATTGTTCGAGCAACATCTTTGAGCCTGTTTGCAGGATAGCAAGTAATGTCCTTGATAACGAGCATCTGTTTCCCAGCCAGGCCCTTTTTCAAAGACAAGGTACCCCTTTGCAGGGCCAAGTAATTAATTGGGATCCATCAGCTAGGATGGTTTAAGGGAGACCCTTCCTGTAGACTCTCACGATCGTTACACTCCTTCACCCTCTACTAAGGGCCAGACCCTCTACATCCCTCAGCCGGAACTGAAGTAGCAGTTACCCTGGGCAGTTTCTAGCTTCGGGTACATAGGCACGCTTGTTGCTTGGATCTTTCTTGGTATCTTTGCAGAGGCCTCTAACTAATGTGCGTGCCTGAATATAGCGCTTTGGGGGCAAATGATACTACTGTTGGCTGTTGATAAAATGATGCTCGCAATGAATATAGCAGTCTCGCGTTTGGTATAGACGGCAGTCGTCGTCGTTCTCATTGTTGCCGGCGTTGTCGTCATCGCTGCTGCTGCCGCTGCTGCTGCTGTGCTGCCGCTGCTGCTGCTGCCTCTGTTGCCTGAGGGTCCTGTCTCTATATATATATATACATAATAAGCATACATACATATATATATATGTATATATATATATACATGGCCCGGCATATTCTGGTTACTTTCTAGAGCAGGGGCATACCTAATTGAAACTGGGTCAAAGTAGAAAATACCTTTCAAGTTCTGTTTTACCAAAAACCAAGATGTAATGTGGAGCAATGACTTCACATGGCATCTCAATGTGGAATCGGTAAAGCCTAACGCCAGAAACTTGGGCCCTATAGTGGAGTTGCTTCACTTGTTTTCCCAAACGGCAGATTTCACAAATTAGGGACCCCTATCATTTTCAGTTTCCCTTGTCTTTTCCACTTGATTTGCCTATATGAGACCTTACACCTTAAAGCGTAATCCCCAATCCCTAGAATGTAACCCTTCCTTACACCTTACAAACCCCTATATAGTCCCCAAACATATAACCTGTGTGTAATAACCTTTACATAATCTGTTTAAGGAGACGATTCAGAGCGACATGAGCCATCCAGTCGAGAGAGTCGACTCGGAGGTTCCTAAGTGCTTGAAAGTTAGTCTTAGTTTGGATACAGCCCCCACTCAGTAACAGTTGGATAATAACTATATTATGGTTATATATAGCCCTTAATAGGACCCCTAATAAAGACTGTTACTGGGTGGGATCAATACACGGGGCACCTAGGCACCCTAGGGTTCTATAGAGATTCTGGGGAGATTATGGGGATCTTTGTGGGGATTGTATAGGATATTTTGAGAAAGTGCTATATAGAGAGGGCTGTCATAAAATCTGGTCCCTTTTCAGGTGCCCTAAATGTGAGGAGTCGTACAATATTGGGACCCGGGAAGGGACCCTACCAATATGTATATGTAGGGTTATAATACACTCATGTACTGTACAGGTCGCCTCCAACGTAGGTTGTTTTTTGGGTTTGGTTACAATTCCCAGTAAGACGCCCTCGAACGTGTTAATTGCACAAGAGGGTCTAGGTAGGGTTTGATATATGCGTATATATAGAGGGTTGTATAGTAGGGATGTACAGGGTTCAAGGTGAAGAGACAATAGGGCTCATTCAAGAGAATGATTGTTCGTTTTCAGGGCTTGGGGCCATGCGTGTTAAGCATTTCGGTGCCTATAGGGATCCGATAGGGGCAACATCGGTATACCCGCGCATGAATTTAGAGTCTGTGTCCTTTTTGGCTTGCGCGATGAAAGTATGGGTACTCAGGAGGGTCTGGGACTGCATATTGACACCAGGGAAACCGTTTGAGTTATCCGAGGTCTTACACGTTAAAACTCTAGCCCTAAACGCTTGAACCCTAAGTCCGATTGTAGACATATGTAGACCCCCAGACACTACGCCCGAGCCCCTAATAAGACGTAACGAGGCCCTGAACTCTAAGTCCTTATCTTACCGGTGCTCAGTAAGAAATAAGGGAAGAAAATCCTTGTGTGATCCCCATGTAATATGTTCCCTCGATCCCTGCTAAGTAAGTTATCCCTGATAGAGCCCAGATTTAGCAGCTCAGGCTTCGTCAACTCCGACGCAGGAGCTGCAAGTGAGTGATACAGTACAGTTAATATTCTAGGTGTATACAAAGCGTACATGTGTAGGTGTATATAGGGGTTTTGAGGATGTAGGGTTTAGGGATTTGATTATGTATTTCCAATAGAATGAAATTAAATGGCAAAGGAACTTGGACATGAAATGGGAACTGAGGATATATCGCGGCTTATCGTGCTGATGCTTCAAATCCTGCATGACCCTGGGTACCCTAAACCTTGGCAATGATGGGGCCATAGTAAACTAGAGTCATGCAGATCTTCTTATCAGAATAGAAACGCAGGAATGGGGGATTGCAAAGCCTTGGAGGGTTTGGAGATTAGGGTTTCCAAGTTCCCTTTTGGCCGCGTCCAAAAGACGGAATAACATTTTTGGGGGGGTTTATGAGAGGGACCCCTAGTTTCAGAAAAGCATACATAAGCTCAGAGTAGTATGAAGGGATTCTCCCAAAGAAAGGAGGAAGTATGTAGTAGCTTTATGGGCAAGGGGGGTTCGGACTTGGGAACAGAACAAGGACTATTGGTGCCCATAACCACCCTATACTAGCCCACATTGGGTTCCCCCTGGCTTGAGCTGATTAAGGCTAACTGAAGTTAAGTAAGGGGCAACCTTGCAGGGGGTAGTATACAGGGAGATGGCAGGGGAATCCAGAGGAGGGTTTCAGGGGTGTATAGTTCCCCTTAAGTAGATAGAACATGGCTTTGGGTATATTGTAATAATATCCCCATATACCTCATATTCGAATCTACTTAAGGGGGACCATAACCTCTAAACCCTAAATAGTAGTTTCCATTTTCTTTTCCATTATCCCTACTATAACCCCTATATTCTATCTACGTACGGGGGACTATAGGATGAGGCCGTCCACAGCTCTCATGCAGGATCTGCATGAGATTATCCACAGCCGAGACCCTTGTCTCAGAAATGCTTCGGGATCTTATCCACACGGGGGCTGGGGTTCAGATTTTTGGGTTGGGGCAAGTAAGGACCAGCAAAAGCAGTGTGAGGTGGAGCTAGCAGCCATCGTAACAACACTACTGAAGGCAGAATGTGTAGAGATGTCCTTGACTAGCAGTGATTGATAAGGCTTTTGGTAGCAGTCGTACTAGCAACAGGTGGTGGGGGCCAAAGAGTGGGAGTCCCTTTTGGGAATCCCGGGAATCCCATTCATTTGCTCAAGCTATAGTGCTTGGGCGTATGGAGGGGACTCAAATTTGGAAATACCTGTGCCAATGGGCAAAACCATGACCTCACTGAACAGGCACCCAGCCGGCCCAGCCAGCGCCATACGTTCTGACGGCCCTACTTGAAGGATCATGGGTGGTAACAAGGGACGTTACAAGTACGGAAGCGATGGCTACTGCCCAAAACACGGGGCTTGGAACCCCCGCCTGTTTCTGTTCGATTCCTCCAAGTCTGTTGTCACAGCTGATTTGCTGATTCGAGCGAATGTTCCAGCTTAGGACGCCTATTGCGCCCGGTGCATTTCTGTGGCCTCCGTGCCCCAATCCGTAAATCCAAACGTCTCTATGCTTTACTAAGACGCTGAAGTCTGAAGCTGCTACCTGCCGCTGAACCTCCCAAGCCCAAGTCCTGAAACTTGCCATTTGCCCCGTGCACCCCTTGAAGCCTCAATTCTAGATTCTATTTAACGGGAGTGCATTAACGTAGTTCTATTGACTTTCGGATGCCTTTTGCCTGCAACCTGATACTTTCGTGAAGTATAAAGTTGAAGGTTCTCAAAATCACGCGCCCGTTCATTGAAGTGACACGCTGCGACAACATATTTTTGTGAGTGCAATGATATGCAATGATGAGAGTTCGATTAGCAAAAATGCTGCGGATACTGAGAAAGAGCAGCACTCTCCAACTTCGGTATTTCTCTGGACGCACATTACGCACACTGGTGCTCCTTCATGTGTATTGTTCATGCTCTTGCTGTCACGGTCATGATTAGTACTACAAGTAGTGATAGCACGAGTGCTATTACTATGAAGACAACCACTGCTAAGATTATGGCTGCTGCTGCTGCTGCGGCGGCGATTATTCGTATTATTATTGCTATCACTATTACTGTTACTGTTGCTACTACAAGTACTATTACCGTCCCTATTCCCATTCTTATTCCTTCTGCTACCATTACAACTACCCTTGCTCCTACCACTACGACACTTGTACCATTTTGACTAGTACCCTGAACCCTTAACCCTAAACCCTTTGAATTAGAAGCGCTCAACGAGCTGTCCTTCCAAAGGATGTTGCGCATACCAAGGATGCTAGCCATTCTGGCAGTCGCTCCCAGAGTGTCTCCGCGGCCGCATGGGCGACACAACATGTGGGGATTTCCAAAAGGGATGTGTTTAGGACTTAGGGTTTAGGACTTGGGTTTTGGCTTAGGGTGCAGGGTAGGGTAGGATTCGAGTTCCCAAAACCTCAGTCACATCCTGAAGCTCAGTAGTAAGCCCTACGTGGACAATTACAAGTGGGCCATGCGGCCAGATGTACGCGAACGAGAGTTCCATCTGAGCCGCTTTCTCCCCAGTCATACCCAGGAACCTCTACCTCAGGGCCTGAAACCCTCCTAAACCCTGAAGCCTGAACCTTAAAACCCTAAAGCCCTAAAACGCAAAACATTTTGAGAGACCCGCAGGTGGCTAAGCTGGATGTCCACCAGCCACCCTCTTCACATCAGGCGGATTCATTAGGGTTTAGGGTTGCAAGTGCCCCCCCTGTTTCGTGCCCAGAGTTTGAGCCCTGCGGTCTGC